ACTCAAAGCGCTTCACACTGCAGACATTCAGCCATGCACACACACATTTACACACTGATGATGGCAAACTACATTGTAGCCACAGCTGCCCTGGGGCACACTGACAGAGGCGAGGCTGCCATACACAGGCACCACCGGGACCCTCTGACCRCCATCAGTAGGCAAGGCGGGTAAGGTGTCTTGCCCAAGGACACAACGACTGAGTCGACTGGACTGGGATTGWACCGGCGAACTTCCGGTTCCAGGACGACTCCCCTAACCACTCTACTACAGCTGCCGAATAWAACTAAAACACTTTGAATATGCTATGCTTTAATTTTAGGACAATATAAAAAATACAAATTCTGTAGCCAAGGATCGGACTGCGAAGGTTCTCGCCTTCAACCGCAGCCCATTGCACAATGCACCCGACCCCTATGACCCCTCCCACAGRTGGTGAGCCCATGGGAAGGGGGACCTACATCTCCTCTTCGGGCTGTGCCCGACCGGGCTCCATGGGTGAAAGCCCGGCCACCAGGCGCTCGCAAACGTGCCCCACCTCCAGGCCTGGCTCCAGAGTGGGGCCCCGGTGGCCCGCGTCTGGGCGAGAGAACACTAGATCCATTCATGGCACTCATCATAAGGGTCTTTGGGCTACACTTTGTCTGATCCCTCACCTAAGACCTGTTTGCCTTGGGTGACCCTACCGGGGGCAGGAAGCCCCTGACTGTCATGATTGACCTCTTCCGTCTTTCACAGTCTTGTCACCTAGCCACACCCACACCAGRTAATCAAGTTCATGTCACTCACCTGTTCTGCTTTGTGTTTAAACCCAGTCAGTATTCAAGTCCATTGCCAGATTATCAAACAGCMTTGCTTAGTAGAAGTCCAGCGTTCCTTCCCATGCCTCATTTTGATCTTCTTACCTTGACCCCTTTTTTGGACCAYGGATTCCCGCCTCTCGTCTCACTCCCTGCCGGTACCTTTCGGACCTCGAACCCATGGCTCTCTATCCACGCCTCGACCTCTGGACCTCCACCTCTTGTCTCGCTCCATACCGGCACCTCCTCGACTTTGGACTCCTGGATCTTGACCCACAAAATGTTCACTGGACCACAAGCTAAGTCCTTGCCCCTTAATCTGTCTGGTGTTACGGATCACCTGTGTATGATCTCTGCTCGCCCCACAAACCTTGTCTCTGCCTAACGCCACGGATTCGGTCACCTCCCGGACAGTTACATTAATGTCATCCCCAGGAGACGTCTCAGGATCGGTGACATGCTTGCTTGGATTTCCCTACGAGCATCCTCCTTCATTAAGAGATTAGTGGCTTTCCTCTTTCTCCTCACAATGGGCCTCATGCAAGAACATGTTCGTATTCTTATCCTAAATTTCTCTTACTTTTGTTCGTACAAAGGGTTCGTACGAACATGTCACGTC